TTTTTACAGTTGTGTACTTAGTTGCCAAGCCTTTGATTCAGAGTGAGGCTGAAGGTGACCTTGTTGTGATAGAGACCTGTATCTACTTAGCATGATAACAAAGTGATTTACATTTGAAAGGCAGCAAGGTTTGTATCATAACAAGGTCAACCCTAGCCTCACTCCCATTTAAAGGCTTGGCAACCAAGCACACAACTGTAAAATGGACTATTGGAGTCCAATCAGTCCTATTACCACCATCAATAAATTATTCTATTCAACAACAATAATAATAATACTAATTGTCACTGCTAATCGGTGTCGCAAAGTACAGCAACAACGCAGCTCAACAAGGTCGAACCGAAAGCTTACATTGGCGCCTCTGGCAGCTGCTATATGGTCCATAAGTGATCTTGGAGCAGTACAGCTTACAGCCAGCTGGAATCAGCTGTATGCTGGTTTTTGGTGAGGGAGGAAAACCGGAGAAAAACCCTCGAAGCAGCGAAGAGAACCAACACAAACTCAACCCACTTATGGCATCAGGTCTGGGAATCGAACCCAAGCCACACTGGTGGGAGGTCAGTGCTCTCACCAATACGCCATTTATTGTGATTCACAAAGGGTTAAGGGGTAAAACGAAGCTGCATTCCAACCAAGTGGCCCACCATTCCCATTTCTGTAAACTGAAGCAACTATAAGCCAGGAGTATGTCTACTCCCCTCTGGATGGGATGCTAATCCATCACAAGGTTGCCCACCTTAGCCTTTCCTCAGATTTCCCTGACAGTTTGCTGCCACCCATGTATGCTATTGGGTAGAGAGTGGCACTGCGAGAGTAAAGTGTATTTCCCAAGAACACAACACATTGACTAGAGAAGGTCTTGAACCTTGACCTCATAACTCAAAGTCCAGCGCAGTATTTTGTCGCTTCCCCAACTATTTACTAAGAATTCAAAATGTTTTGTAGCCTGAGGGAACAGACATGGATGAGATCTTGAATTAAAGTGCTTTCAATTGCTCTAACTAACCTCGACAGCTGACCAGGTATTTGTTTGCAAGTCCAGAATGTTTACATCACTAAACCATCTCTTTGTTTTCGATCCACCATACACATACAACACCTTCTTCTCTGGGTCATATGTGACAGTGTGTCCAATTCGTCTATCAGCTCCACCTCCTGTGCAGTTCTCTTCATGCCAAGATGGGCATCCTACAAAATATATGCCGTCATGCAAATTAAAAAAATTATAGCACTGACTGAAAGGAAAATTTTTTGCAGTCGCCTTTTGGCAACCTAAAATCATTAACTCTTTACACCCAGCCTCAATATGCATATTCTCCTTAACCTTCACTATACATATCCTTGGGTGCTGTAAAGGAGAATTAGTTTCACAATCAAGAGCTTCTTTCGTTGGTGATTATTTCCTTTATTTTTGTGACTTTAATGTTTGATTCCGTAGGAGGTGTGGAAAAGACCTGACATAACTAACCTTGGGACAAATTCAAAGTCCAAACAGAATCTTTAGCCATCTGTTGCTTGCTTCCTTGACCTCCAATCAGGATAGCCTTTCTCTTGTCAATTAAACACATATCATGCCCCCATCGGCCTGATGGCACTAGTGAATGCAAGTAAAGATACTAACTCATGTAATATGTAGCTAATCACCATTGGATTCCATTAAATTAGACATAAAATTAAAAATAAACATGGGTTGCCATCCATGCAGACATAGATGCACTCTTCAAGACAAGGATGGAAAAAAGCTCAGAAGAAGTGGCTCCAAAAGATATGTTCCTTTAGCTTTGTCATAGAAAATTTATGGGATGTGTTTAATGAAAAGTGCAAAGAATACAATTCAAATAGGTTGGGGAGTTTGTAACTGAAAGCTATTTGACCACCATAAAAGTAATTTAACTTTTTCATTCCAATTACCCTGAGCTAAAATATTTATTTGTTGCATTTAGAGTGATTACACCCAATTAAAATGTATTATGAGATTTTCATAATTAACTTACCATCACTCAAGTTGACTGTTGATGGAGTGTCAGGTGGCGTTGGCACATCAGGGCTCCTCACTGAACTGTTTCTAGGATTCTTTTTGGCACTTCCTGAACCTTTTCTGAAATTCTGTCTCTGACCTTGAATAGGACTTTTAAATGCAAGAAAGAAAAGGAACAGTTACATGAAGATTGTAATTTACATGGGGCTTTTTGAAGGATTTGGGAAAAACTGATTAACAAATTGATTCCATCTTGCCATACTTCAGTTCAGTAAGATCACAAATGAAAAGTCAATATGTGATAGGGTGAGGGGCAACTGAGTGTGCCACTGAAGAGATGCTCTCAACACATTATGACGTCTTCTGAGATCTATTACAGAATAAATGCTCAGCAACATGGAATCTATTAATTAATAATAAAGATAAAGGAGCAAAAATTAGTGCTGATAATGGTGGCCTCGTTTATGCACCTGTCCTCCAACAGATTATGAGAAAGAACCAATCAAAACATGTAAGCAATTCCACTCATCATATAAAAAGTAAGAGTATATGTATTTCTTTACTCACACTTTTCAGACTGAACTGATAAACAACTACAGGACAGTCCAAAAATAAATTAACCTTTTTTTTCAAGAGTGTCTAACAATAAATTTCTCCTTATGACATCCTCCCTGAATCACACATTAATTAAGGTCACGAGAATACTGTAGAGGAAATGATCACCAACTACTGTAAAAAAGGTCTTGATTGTTAAATTCTCCTCAGCTCCATGGGAATTGTATAGAAAACAGTATGGAGAATATGCCTACTGATGTTACAGTTTAAAGGGTTAAGATCAGCTGGACTCAACTCACGTTTCAGCATTGCTCTGTCTTCGTTTCTTGGTGGGTGGAGGTGAAATGACATCTTTTGAATCCACAGGAGAAAACTCCAATTTTGTACATTCGTTGAAATTAAGTTTTTGTTGCTTCAGGTTTTTTAAACTTCCTGGTGTGACAGAACTCTTGCAAGAATCTTTTTGAGTTTCCTGCATTGGTGATAGTACAGCACCTTCATGATCTTTCTTGTTTTCTTTTTCATGGTTGCATTTTTCCTTCACAGTTCTCAGGGTCAGCTTAGCCATTTGTCCCTGAATAATAGAACATCAAAATTATTCCCCAATCTATGATAAACGTGGATCACTTCCTTGTTGTAGAAAGCCTCTCTTTTATAAATTGGACTGTATTGCATGGTAATGTATTACCATTGGAAAAATAAAAGAGACAGCCCAAGATTTAACTCAGGTTGGTAACACACCCTGCCCTTTAAATAATCCTCTTCCTTCATTAGGAAAGAAAAATTGGGGATTGATTTCTTAGCAGAATAAACCACGACTAAACAGTAATATTCTATACAAAAATGGTACCTCCTCAGCGAGCTCTTCACTTCTTTTCAAAAACTTCGTCTTCCAGCCCTCGTCCCAACAAAGTGCTTTACTCCTGCATGATAGAGTACCAATTTTCTGGGGTGGAGTCACCACCTCAAGAGATACTTCTGCAATTATCTCTTGTCCCTTGAAATTCACGTCCCATTTTCCAAGACTAAAAATTATGATTTGTTTTGGCAGTGGTAGTGGGAAATAGCAATGGAAGAATCTTTTATCATCTCCTCTTCCTTTATAGCTACAGAGAAAAGTAATAATCAAGAAGCAGAAAAGAAAAGTATACTTTTAATAAAGTAATAGTACACGTAATAATAATTACAATTATTATCATCATCTTAAACACAGTATTCTTGCATGGTCTTTTCCCCTTCACGCCTTAGATCTCATTTAATTTAGCAATTTTCCTTATTGACTGTCACAATTCTTATGATGTTAGTTCAAATAATTTGGTATTAGATCAACTAATAACCCATTGATTGCTATTTTTCTTTATTCTCATCACTTATTCGCTTGATATTGTATTAATAACGTTAGGAGAAATTCTGCGTTGGTCAATCATGGGAATTTAGGGTTAAAAGAACACTACTTAAGAAAGGAAATCTAAGGGAAATAATTCATTATATCATATATTTCGAAAAATTTCACTTAACAGGTGATTAGGGGAGTTCACAAGAAATAGATGACGATGAAGGCTTCTCTACCAAAAAAAAAGGATACATAGTATATGGTAACTTTTTACTTCTAATAATAATGTGTCTTTATTGTTCAAAAGATAAAATTACATATCTTATGTTACATTAAAAAGGATGTAAATAAGCTTAGGTGTATCTTTTACAAAGCTACATTGTACTTAAAAACAATTCTATTAAAAAAGGTATTCTTAAAACGGTTCGTGCGAATGGCGGGCATTACAGGGGATTCATTTAAATTATATCTCGTAATCTTGGTTTCAGGGAAGTAGGCTCTAAGAGGGTGGCTAAGGATAGTAGAAAGTACTTCTGGTCAACAATCACATATCAAAGATTATATGTAAATGGTCGTTTTGCACTTGTGCTACAACGGGAAAGGTTATGATGGAAAAGTCATTCTCATTTACATTATAGCAATGTGCATGGCTTGTATAATGGGGGTGATCGTGGAATCGAACGTGCGGGACAAACAAATCTATGGATGACCAGCTGGAAAAAACTTTTCCGATTCATCGAAAAAAATATACTTGCCAGATTAAACGTTCCACTAAAACTGCAGGAGCTTCAGCAAGACCTTAAATTGTCTTCAGGTCTAAACCACAACAATCATGTAAATTTACACCTGGAACTCATAATTTTGCAGGACGCGCGCTAAAAAGAACGTCTTTCAGTACCTTGAAGATCGACTCAAACGTCTGGGCGGTTCCCACAAATTAAATACTGCGTATAGGCTGAGAGAATCATCATCTTGTTGATCTTTTACTCACGGAGTATTCATGTCGAACAGTGAACAAAATATTGAAATGGTGAATTTCAATAAAGCTTTGAAACTTCTTGAAATGCGCGCGCTATTTTCCAGAATACGCCTCCGGTGTATTCTGGGAGAATTGAAAGATTTCTCGGGGACGGGAGGCTGCGGTTATAAAGTGAGCTCCAAAACTCACTTATTTCAGGACCCTTAGTGATTTGATATGAGCGAGTAGCCCGAAAATTAAGTTTTCTAGGTTTTGAGGAGAAAAAAACAGCTGCCGGACATTTTTTGCAAATCGTCAAACGAGAAAAAAAAGTATCTAGCCGGGTACCCCACGGTGACACCTGCATTACGCGCAATCATCTCTGGGAGAATTTTATTGTCTGGAACAGACGGGTGTTGGCGAGTATTTGTGTTAGCGTGTCGTGGCGAGAGTCTTGCAATTTTTCAGGTTTTTGGGACCGTTGAAACTTTTCGACAGCAATATGCCCGTAAAGGTTATGATCACCTATTGGTAAGCAGACTTTTTCATACTTTTACCCGTGCCTTTGTCGCTGCATGTCGTGCATAAAAATTTTTCTTTCGCTGAGGCTGCCTCGTTGCACAATCACTCGTAAACTTGCTGCTTGAAAGTCTCAATATTCTATTTGTATTTTTCCTTCACAGTGGTGGATGAGGGTACAGGCCCAAGGTATGAAGCTTTTAATGTGAGCTCGTTAAGATTGATATGAGCAGAGGTACTAGTTTTCGCAAACGAAAGGCAAAAAAAATCGTGAGCATGACATCAGCTGAGCATGACTCTGCAAAACCCAAATGTCTGATTTAAATTTGAATTGACCTAATCTAAAAAAAAGACTGACATGTTACCGTTTTAAAGCAAATTTTATCATGAAGGAACTTTTCCTAGTTTAATTTTTTTCACAATTGATTCGTGGATATCGCTAGCATTTGATAACTTCATGCATTTTAATGAGTTGCTTTCAGAGGGTCGTCGCATTTTGCAGCGAAAACAACCCTATCCCCACCACCCACGCGATCACGAACCTTTACGGGGGAGGGATAAGCCAAATCAGGCCAAACTAAGTATTGGAGGAAAGATAAGGATTTCTTATATCAACATTTTCACTCACCCACTGTAGGACAGGAAAGGGAAAGATTCCTCTGTGTCCCCTCTTAATCCTTAAAATAAAGTTGTTGTCTTCATCCAAGAACTTTACTCGTGATGAAGTAGTGTGCTCTACAGAAATCTCGCCAAGGAAAGTTTAGACAAAGTTCACTTGTGCACCAGTTTGCTAACTTTTTTAAGTGGACACTGCAACAATAAGTTTCTAAATACCACAAATTCAACAAAGATGTTCTAGAGTGAATGCTTTTTGGATTCATAAGCATTGTTTGCACTGTGATCCATCTTTAAAAGGGTTCCTACTAATCAGGGAGTGGGTTAAAGCATTCAGAGGTGCCCAGTGGTGGAATGCATTTGACGTTTAGTTAAAATATTTATTGATTTGCCATTTGTCTTAATTTTTTACTCTGATTTCAATTAGTAAAGCACAATTTTTATTGCCATCATCATTTTTCTTGCCTGCCCCAAGAAATCCTCTTACATGAAATTATGAGCTTGCATTTGGTTTTCTCCCTAAGGCATTTGTAAGAGATTCTACAGGTGCTAAATTTGACTGTTTATTGCCTGAAAATGAGAGCACTTTGCAATAACTGGACTTCTTATGTTTACTTTCCTCAGTTTGAGAAGATCAAACAAGCAATCCTCACAAAGTTTGATGACACAGAAGTGGAAGTGGTGGGTACTCTTGAAGTTTGTTGAATTGATGAAATGGGGTTTAAAAAAGTTTCTGCATGCCTCAAGTAAATACATGTGTACATTTTTTCAGGAAGGATACGGAACACCAGGAATAACCGGGTATTTGGAAGTAGAGGTGGCTGGCAAACTTGTTCATTCCAAAAAGGTGAAAATATTTAATGTTTTCACTCCTCACCCTAAGCTAAGACAAATGATTTTTAAAAATAAATCCTCCAAGCATTCAAACATGCAAAAGATATGTAGCCTCAGTTTGAATTTATCTTCATTTCAGAGTCCCTTTTTACTTTGCTTACATTAAATAATGTGTTAGAAACAAACCAAATAAAATTTTTAGAAAAATGAAAAGTTGTAGACATCTTAAAGAAGGACACTGCATCCTTACAGGATTTGCACTAACACAGCAGTTTGTGTTAATCTTGTTTTTAGGCTGGTGATGGATATGTGGACTCTGACGGCAAAATGCAGAAGATTCTGAATGCAGTCAAAGCAGCCCTGGCTTGATTGTCCTCTGCATGTGCAAGGAAAAAGTGTACAGTTGAGGTACTTAAATACATGAAGTAGACTGTTAAAATTTAACCATTTAACACTGTAACATTAGTATGCTTCTTCTCCATACTTTCCATGCATTTCAAAAGGAGCTGACAAGGAGAATTTCTTTAACAATCAAGGCCTTCTTTTGTATTTGATCTTTTCAGCTATTGTGACCTTACTGCTGGATTCAGGGGTAACAAGGATTTGTTAGTCATTCTTAGGCATTGAAGGGTCAATATGTGGGAAGCATTTGTTTGCTGATGAGATTCACCCAGAGCTTGTGTACAAGTTATTTTCACAGTGTGGACTTTATAAATTGTCTACTGCCAGTCATGAGGGCAGCTGCATAGGAAAAGGTTCTTCAAGCATGGTCAATGAGCTATCTGAAATAATAAAATTTGGAGTTTTTTTATATGAATTCAGACTATCAGATATTGTGGATCCTCTTATGGTTTAAGTCTAAACCCAAAGTCCCAGAATTGATTAACATGTAACTTCTCCATAAAATATTCATACACGATCCAGCAAACAGGTAATAAAAATACCCAAACTTGTGAGGTACATGTACAAGTTGTTATCTTGATCCAAAACCAAATTATTTGTAAGTAATCCACAATAAAATTGCGTTACAGAAGAAGGGGAGAATTAACAAATAGATCTTGGGAGTCTAATTCTAGCAACATTATACCAGTACCTTGAAAAATAACTATTTTGGATGTTGACCTTGTCAATAAATTCTGTGTTTATTATTGAAAAGCAACATTGAACTTGATGTACAAATACACTTCTGGACATGCTAGGTCTCAGAAAACATATCAGCAATTTTTTTTTTTTATGATAACTTTTTATTGATCACTGAAGGCAATCAGATTTTCTTTCTGCTGATTCTTAAATCCTAGCTAAAACTAGTTATTAATTCGACTGAGTTATCAAGTCAGTTATTCCTCTGAACATGTTTTTTTTTCAGTTTGAACCAGCTGTTTGTTCCAGATGGATGACCATTAATGATGGGAGCAGCTTAAATTTACTGATGGCTGACTTCTTGATGAAGTATAGTGATTTCATCTGGCGGCACTGTGGAAAACAAACTGTGCATGTTATTCCACTTTATTCAGTTGTTTTAACGTGTGTACTCTACTGAGTATTAATTTCCTTTTTTTTTTTTTCTTTAGATGTAAACAAGCTATAGTGTATGAGTAATTAGTGCCTACACTGATTTTTATGGTGAAATGTTTTTCACTAATGTTGTTGTTTAACATTTATACTCTTCTGAGTATTAATTTTCAGTTTTTTGAGGCGTAAACAAGCTATAATGTACGAGTGGTTAGTGCCTGCACTGATCGTTTTGGTGAATGTTCTTCACTGATGTAAAAATTCCTTTTTTTTTTCTTTGTTGAAGTAATAAAGAAAGCTTTTTGCATATCGTTGGATCTGATGTTGTACGTTAACTGAATATGTGGAGAAGTACTAGTTTGATTTGTGATGTTCTGCTGAGTTGGAAAACGGCGTAGAGGTGTTTTGGAATTTCCAAATTATAAGAAATGCAGCCAATTAAAATTAGGATTTTAGATTTCAATTGAATAAATGTTGATTATATATTGGCACCAGGAAAAAGGAAAATTATGGTTAGCCATAGCATAATATCAGGATTAGCCAAAAATTCTTTCTGGAGCCGAATTAGTTTTCAGATAAAAGAGTTGTTTTCTCTTTGTCATGAGCGTGCATTAAAGACAGCGAAAAGACTTGAGTTTTGTTGGGGAACTGAACCCAGTACTATAGTTTTTCTGCTGTAGGTATCAACGGGCGAGGACTCAACGTCCAGCACGTGCAGTTATGGATGAGCAATGTCGAAAGCGTTCAACGTGCGAGTGACGATGTAAAGTAAATGGTAAAGTGCCAGTGAAAATGTAAAGTGAATGGTAACTTATAGGCCGGCCATCGAATACGTAAAGTTGTAACCCGCATATTGATTTTTGCGCGATTGTACTTTTGTACTTGCTATTTCATGTCACAGTTATCACGCATTAACTCTCGTCTACGTCGATACTCGATTTCAGATTATTTCTGTTAAAATGAAAGAAAACCACCTCAAAAGTTTCATCTTTCATCACTGTCATTTTACAGGGAAGAAAAAAAAACTTGCTATGTTGAGTCCAGTGATGGAAAAAAGCTGGCTGCAACTACGCATCCGTCACACTAGTCTCCCTCGCAGCCGTTTTTTCGGATGTCACGCAACGCTCACCGACACACACGAACACTTGCCTTTTGACAAGCGGTTTCGTCGATATGAAAGTTGACGAGAATGTTAAAAGGTTTAATAAATTGAACCATTTCTGGCTTGCTGGTGTCGACCGATATTGTCCTTGGCTGAGACTTGTCCTCAAAATGTCACATTTCGCTGCTCCCAATACTCTCTAAGATATGCGAAAGAGAGGCATTAGATCAGCTGTCTTCATATTTAACAACTAATCAAAGAATATCAGCGAAACAAAACGGCAGCAAAAGATGGCATTCAACCGAAACAGCACTGATCCCTACTATTGATTTTATTTTTCGCGCGATCGACCAGAAGAAAATCACTGCAGTTGTATATTTTGATATGAGTAAACAGCGTGATATAATCAACCGCGTGATTCTTCTAAAGAAACTAAACGACATTGGTTTATCATCTTCTGCACTTCAATGGTTCGAAAGCTATCTTTCTCAAAGAAAACAATCAGTCCACATTTACTCTGTATTATCTGATAGATTACCAGTAGTCAGTGGCGTACCGCAAGGGAGTGTACAAGGAGCGTTATTATTCAGCATTTATGTAAACGACCTACCAAACATCTGTCAGAATTGTTCAACTGAATGCTATGTGGATCACACAAAGCTTCTATTATCCTTTAGTGCGAATGATTCTGCCCAAGCTATAGAAAGAGTGAACTCTGATCTCATACAACGTATACGCGATTGGTGTTTGGACAATTGCTTAATACTACTATCGTGACGCTACCTTATCATTCAAATGTAAAACGGGCCTAGCGCCTGAATATTTGACATCCGAGCTTGTAACAAGAGGTAGCGTACCTGGGCGTATAACGAGGAACTTTCAAAAAACTCAACATTCCCCTTTTTAAAACTACAACAGGTCAGAGGACCTATTATTCTAGCAGTGTAGCCATCTGGAATAAACTTGACTCAAGATTGAAACTATGTGAAAAACCAGCTTCTTTTAAGAGAGCTTTGAAAAGGCATCTCCTGAATGATTTTTTATTGAAATAACCATTCTATTCTTAAAGTTATAAGTAACTTATATTGTATTTAACGTGTTATTAGTTAGTTTTGTATGTATAGTATCAAGTATGTAAATTATGTAATTGTTCACTGAAAAGCCCCAGACGGGGATGTGTTCAATAAAATGTATGTATGTATGTATTTTCCTTCGAAGCCTCGCTTCTCGACCAAGTAATCACTTCGGTAAATATCTTGTCCGTGGACTTTACATACTAGCCGCCCGAAGGGATTTATTTGCTAAATATCAAATTAATTCATTGCATACAAAATGAAAGGGAAGCAACACCGAGGATATAGGAAAAGAATGGCTAACTAACAATTTTTTTTTGGAGTATTGGATGAATACCCAAATTGAGTTGGACCTTTGTTCGATCTAAGAATGGTATTGCCGCGGAAATAAAAAGTACTGAGTGTTTCATACTAAGTGTATACGTCAGCGTTGTTCTATCGATGGTGCAATCGATCGTTAGCTTACGATAAATCATTATTTGACATGAAGAGGCACATGTCTAAGAAAATCACTCGCTATGTAAGGGAACAGCTTTTTAAACTGTTCATTGACAGAGTTACGTCTACAAATAACACCATCCATGGAACATTTTGGAAACCTAAAATTCGGTGCATTGTACATAAAACCGTGTCAAAAAAGCATTGGTTGGCTTTGTTCCAAAGCACGTTGATTTACACGATTGAATCTAGCCATTTATTTTGTTTATAGACTCCATCGAATCGGTTCTCGAAGAGCTGGAAGTATCAAGTGTCGATGTCAGGTCGAGTGTTAGGGTCTTTTGCATAGCTAAAACTAATTTTACGACGGGAAGTATTCCATCGTTGGGGGAATTTGGCTTTCAGAAGGTTTGCTGCTCAAGATACCCTCCTTGCGCCTGCCATAACCTCGCAAACTTCCACAATACATATTTCGTAACGATATGAAACGTGCACAAGTAAAGGAATTGGTTTCTCAGGTGAGCTACAGCAGAAGAAATTGCAGAAAAGAAGCGCTAACGAAATTCAAGCTGTAGACGGATCCCGTTGAAGCCTAGCGGAGCTTCACATGCAATGGTAGGCGATGCTTTGCAAAGGTAAAATAACAACTGAAGAAATGTTGACGATGATAATATCGTGCTTTATTTTTGTCGCCTTGATGACAAAACCAGGTCAAGAATGCCAAATATTATTTAATAAATGAAACGAATTCATGCAGGTTTAAGCAAGACTTGCGTGATTTTTTTTTTCTGTTGCTGCCGAATCATCATCACAAGTGAATCTAAACTGATCTTAGAGGCCTGTGTAGACCCATCGGAGAACATTTATTCTCTCACTTTTATCTTCTTTGCTTATTACATTTCATTAAATCACTCCCACACAGTTTCTGCTGCGCCGTTTGGCCAAACAAACACTCTTAAAATTAAGGAAGTCTTGGAAAGAGTTGTTATGAAAATTATTATCCAATTACCTTATAATAGGTTGTCACGCTGAGAAGTCTCAGTTTGCACTGTTCATGCTAAATATCATAATTGTATATCATTTGTAACATTACCGTAGTCATCTAGCCTTGTATCTGTATTTATTACTTTAATTTTGGGGGACAGAAATTCTATGAAATGTTCTTCACCGAATAATTGAAGAACAAAACAAGTGCAAGAGAAAGTGGATGAGATCAGTTTTTCAATCTAAGCCTTTTCCGGTGTCATTCCAAAAGCCGGACTCAAGCCTTTTACTGCCTTTCAGTACGTTATAGATACTAATATTTATTGCTCAAAAAAAGAGGTATTACACTTACATATTAAGAAAATTATTTATAGTTAACAGAATATTTTTAAAACGCGTAGTTTGATTAAGAGGAACCTTTATTTCGTACATTTCAAATCAACCTACAACAGGGCTTCACAGAATACCACTCTCCAGTGATGTGAGCACCCTGTATAAAGACTGTCATTATTATTACTATTACTATTATTATTAATATTATTATTATTATTACAACTCGGGCACTTAGCTCTGCTCTAAAGAAAATGTTGGTTACTAGCTTCTAGTGACATCGTCACCATATCACACCTTACAGAGGAATCATGTAAAGCTACGTGAAACAGATCCCCCATACTAAGTATATACCTTTGGAATATTGACTCTTTATAAAATGACTTTCTACCTTAAGTTTCTTACATGCCCATTCTACCTTATTTACGGTGAAATACGTCAAGTTTCCCACAAAAGGAGGTTGGGTAAGTTTTGTTTGACTCCCTAAGTTTTCCTCCAGTGCTGGTTATGGGACACTTTGATCGGGATTAATAAAATGACGATTAAAACGTTTCAAAACCGAACGGGTGGTGTGAAAATTGGTTTTTGGAGTTCGACAATGGTTAAAATTTATTACAACTACCGAGCCAAGTATTTTGAGGAATGTTTTCTTCCTCACAAATACTACCATTGAATAATTCTTTTAATGACGACTAAGTGGCTATGTAAACACGAGTAGAATTTTCGATTTCATTTTAGCGATATCTGCCTATAGAATGATAGCTAGAAAACATTGTTCATGGAACACAGTGAGTTGTTTTCGTTTTTTACACAAGTGTTGACATTAAAAAAAACAAATTGAATTTGTCAGGGAAGTTATCTTTGAGGTTTGACGAGTCAAAAACTGGCGATACATTTTATTTCGAATGGGAAGAGGTTAAACTGAGGGTGTACTGAACAGAAGAGAACGGTTTTCCCCGAAAAGGTTCTTTGCCACACTCATTTCCCATTATTTCACT